AAACCTAGTCTGTAAGAGTAGTTCCCACACCTTCAGTGGTTTTTGTCAGTAATCCTAATTGACAACCTTTATCCTTAGATTGTCTTTTTTTAGTCTCTACCATACAGCTACCCTCATGTTCAGATATGATGGCCAGGTGCTCAGGAAAGCATAACAAAGTATTCAGAAACAAAAGTATTCAAAATAATGGCTGTGACAAATCTTAAATTTCTGCAGAAATTTATATTAAATGTATATTGCAATACATTTAACATCTTTTAAAAGATAACACATAAGGCTTTCCACCTCAGTCATGAGGGGAGTATAAAACCACAGTGAGCTACCACTTCATACTTCCTAATCCAAAATGAAAACAGGTGAGAATGGAGAAATTGGAACTCTGTACCTTAATTGGTGAGAGTGTACAATGGTGTGTCTGTTATGGAAAAGTTGGGCAGTTCCTCAAAAAAGCCAAACAAGGACTATAGGACTAGTGTAGTTCCCTCCTTGGCTAAGTAAGATACTTGCTGCCAGTGTTCATTGCAGCATTCACAGTAGCCAAAGGGGGAACAAAGTCACGTCCAGCTCATGGACAAACCAGATGTGATGGTGCGTGTAAAGGTGACAGACACAGAAGGACAAATTATCGTGTGCATACAAATGTATGTATGTACTTAAAATTAGGCACATTCATAGAGATCAATTACCAGGGGCTGGGGGGAGGGGAATGGAGAGTTAGGGCTTAATCATTTGTGGTGATGAGAAAGTTTCAAATACACAGTGATGGTTGCACAAGGTTGTGAATGTTATTTAATGCTACTGGATTATACAGTTAAAAAGTGCATTTTATGTTATATAACAAAAATCTGGGGAAAAAATCACTAAAAGGAAATAGGTAATCTGGAGAGGCAGAAACAGTTTGTAGTCTAAAAACTGCCTCTCAGAACTTTGACCCAGTCTGACCCAGGAACACATGTGCATCAACACAAGTGCAGTGCCGGGCCCCAGCACTAATGCTTTCTCTGATGCTTCCCCCATCCATTCATACTTAGAACAAGAAAGTCCTATGAGGCTGCCCCTGGCACATGGTGGCAGATCTTCCTGTACGTGACATCAGCATCAGATCTTTTCTGCATGTGGTACTGGTTCTCAATCTTGGCTACATTTAGAGTCACCTGGGAAGCTTTGAAACATCTGAGTCCCCCCACCCCCAGGGATTTTGATGTAATGGAGCTGGGTGTAACTTAAGCATCAGGATGGTTATGAACAGCCAGTGTTCAACACTGCCACCATGGGGGCATAGTGAGGTTAATTACCTAGGATAGTAGTGGCACTGCTAGGAGAATTGCTGGGGAAGGGCAAATAACGGCAGCCGTTGATAGCTGAGACCCAAGGGAGCTCCCCAGCTTAGATGGACACTTTATCATAATTTCTTTTTTGAAATAATGTGGGGAAATGTGTATAGGATCTAAAAATACAGTGAATGAAACTGCTGGCAAGCTACAGCACTATAAAAATGTCCTTAAAGAGTTACTGAAGTCCTGGACCTTTATCACTTAATTTATGGTTATCTCCTCCACAATCTGTGAGACAGAACAAGAATCAAAACACCCTGGGCGCCTGGGTGGCTCAGATGGTTAAGCGTCTGCCTTCAGCTCAGATCATGATCCCAGGGTCCTGGGATCGAGTCCCGCATCGGGCTCCCGGCTCAGCGGGGAGCCTGCTTCTCCCTCTGACCCTCTCCCCTCTCATGCTGTTTCTCTCTCGCTCGCTCTCTAAAAAATAAATAAATAAAATCTTTAAAAAAAAAAAAAAAGAATCAAAACACCTACTCTGTTCTGTAGGTGGAGAAACTGCCCTCCAGTCTGCTGGTTCTCGAGTTTGAGCAAAGTTGCTGAGCCCCACTGCCACAGTTGCCAATTCCATAGGTCAGGGACAGAAGCTTAGTCTTTCGGGGCACTTCGAACCACTGCTCTGGCAAAAGTGAAACAACAGCAAAAACTGGAGTCCCAATTCTTGTAATTCATGCTCTTTTACTCCTCTTACTGCCTGTGGCCAGTTTAGGTAAATAAGTTGTTAATGGAATATGGACAGATAATCCAAGCATTCTTTGCCTTTTCCCAAACCTGAAAAGAAGCTGAGAGCAGTTGGATTCAAAGAATAAAGAAATTGAGCTTTGGAATTACACCGAGTTTTCAGTGTGTGCTCCATGAGCAAGGTTATGGGAACCTCTGGAAATGTTTCTTCATATAATGGGAACCATAATAGGCTGTACCTCATAAAGTAGTTCTGAGTATTAAATGAGGTTTGCTTACATAGGAAGGAAGGGCTCAATAAATGCTCTTAGTTCTAGTATAAGTTGAAAAATAACTGAAGACACTGAATAGTACCTTGAGTTTTAAAAAGAAAAAAAGGCTGCCTTGAAATACCCTCAGATCTTCAGTGATTCCAGTCACTAATGCAGCAATTGAATGGGGTTAGGACAAATGTCCTTACCCTTACAGAGTTCATTTTACTGCCATGTACTTAAGTTGTAAGTGTTGGAGGGAAATAGCAGATCTGTCAGCGGCGGCAGAGGACCTCCCTAGGAACCTGACACAACTTGCTGTTTCAGAAGAGCCCAGTTGTCCGTCTCCCCTCTCCCACTATTCGCATGGAATACATTCCAAGACCCCCCAGTGGATGCCTGAAATCAAGGATAGTCCTGAGCCCTATATACATTTTGACCTGTACCTACCTACCTACCTGTGATCATGTTTAGTTCATAAATTTGGCACATAATAGAGATTAATAGCAATAATAAAACAATTAGAATATGCTGTACAAGTTACATGAATGTGGTCTTCCCAACTACACTGTACTCACCCTTGTCATGATGAGAGAAAATGCCCACGAGAGGAGATGCAGGGAGGTGAGTGATGAAAGCACTGTGACATGGTGTTAGGCTACTGTCGACTTCAGTGCTATGTCGGGAGGAGGATCATCTTCTTCCAGGCCACAGTTGACTAGTAACTGAAACCACAGATAAGGAGGGACTACTGTATGCCATTGGTTGCTGGCATCAAGCTCCCATTTGCTTAACCTCTCCTGCTTATACTGTTAAGAGGCCAATAATATGATCTCTGCCATCTCTTCATAAAGTGAAAAGCCCAGTTGGTGCCATCAGAGACCTCCAGCCCCTGACTGTTGGCTCCAGGAGGTGCACAGCACCCACAGCTGGTAAGGGGCTCCCTAGCCCAGGATGCAGGCCAGTTCCAGCGCTGCTCAGCATCACCCAGACCTGGAACAAGGGCACAGAGACCCCACTGTCTGCCTGGAGGGTCTGAGGCCCTCAAGCAGCTGGACCGTGGTACAGACTGGTGGAGTCAAACCTGGGTGGCCCTTCTCTCACCTTGGCCTCAGTCCCTGGGGCTCCCCTCCTAAGAAAAGCTAGGTGTAGAGTAAGTGCACACACTTTTAACGTTTGTACAAAAGAAGTTGGAGACGTGCACAACAGTCACCTGGGAAAGGCAGAAGATTCATTGTTTACAACTTTTTACATGTTATACCAATTAAGAAAAAAATACCTACTTAAATGGCTCCCAATCCAGGCTTCTCTCTCCACCTGGTCTCCCAAGATGCTACCATTTGTCCAGCATATGCCTTAGAGCACACGGCAGTGCCTGGAAAGACTCCTACTAACTTGGACCGCCAAATCCCTTTACCCACAGCTCCTGCTGGTCTTTTTTATGGTCAACTCCTCCAGGAAGCCTTTCCTAACTCAGAAGGGCTAATTAAGTGCCCTTCCTACCATTATCAAAAAACTTCCAAGATTTTCTCATCCCATTTTAAGTACTCCTTTTTTAACTTCAGTTTCTTCCCTATTCTATGACAGGAACTGGTCTTAAGCCATCCTCAGTACTAGGTACAGGAACAGACGTTTGATAAAAATTCCTAGAAGGAATAAGTGAACATGTGCTTACCAGATTCTTATTCTTCATGAGCACAAAGGAAATACTGTTCAAATTCAACTGCAAAATTGACTTTATTCAACGGTTAGTGAATCCAGCAACATCCTAACAAAAAGGAGTTCTGAAGAGCTGTACAAAATGAAAGGCTTTTATAGACTTGAAGGGGGTGGGAAAAGGAAATCTCGAGCAGAGTGGATTGTTTCATGCAAGGTCACCTTCCTGTAGAAGGGGCCTATCAGGCAGATTATCATATAAATGCTGAACCTGGTAATTACAGATTCGTTAAAAATTACAGTCCTGGGACAGGCTGAAACTGCAATTTGGGTAGGCATTAAATCCGGCTTCGCTGGTGGGCTTAGCACAAGTGACTCCATTTTAGACTTGATTGATTTATTTGTGAGAGCATGAGTGGGGGGTGGGGGGGAGGGTAAAGGGAGAGGGAGAAGCAGACCCCAGTGAGCATGGAGACTTACATGGAATCGATTCTGTGACTCAGATCATGACCTGAGCTGAAGGCAGACGCTTAACCAAATGAGCCACCCAGGAGCCCTTGGCCTGTTTGTTTATTTTTATTTTTTTTTAAAGATTTTATTTATTTGACAGCGAAAGCAGGAACACAAGCAGGGGTAGTGGGAGAGGGAGAAGCAGGCTTCCCGCCGAGCAGAGAGCCCAGTGTGGGACTCGATCCCAGGACCCCGGGGTCATGACCTGAGCCAAAGGCAGACGCTTAACGACTGAGCCACCCAGGTGCCCCTGGCCTGTTTATTTTTAACAGTACCGCTCATTGCCTATTCAGGGGCTAAATACAGAATCCCAATTTCTTGAAGACTTTTCTAAGGAATTTTAGCATAAGCTGTTTCCTCTTTGCACCTTAAACTTTTTATGTTAAAACTTAGTTTCACTGGGATGGGAGACCAGAATTCATGGATTCGTGGCTATGTTCAACTCTCAAAATGGCCGCAAATGACATTCTGTCAAAAGGCATGTTTAAAGATTTATTTGGAGTCAGAGCTGGGGGGTGTGGGGGGTGGGGAGGAATCTCAAGCAGACCATGTTCAGCACAGAGCTGGATGTGGGGCTCAAACACAAGGACCCTGAGATCATGACCTGAGCCGAAATCAAGTCGGACACTCAACTGACTGAACTACAAAGGCACCCCCAAAAAGCCGCAGGTTTAATGGCAAAAGGAAAAAAATTCGGGGGAATATGATTGGGGAAGAGTCATTTCTTAGTGCTGCCAAGGATTAATTCAGCCAATACTGAACATTATTGTGCCAGGCAAAGATCAGGCTATATTTCAATCAAAGGTAAATTATAACATTCTAAAACTTTTTTAAAACTTTCCCCATTAGTTTGTACCTAATAAAGGCTAAAATTAAAAGGCATAAGAGGCCCAAACAAATAAGGTCTCAATTTCTTGCAATGATCCCTGCACAGCACCTTCAACATCTACATCAGTGCACTGAATACATCTTTGGTTGAAACATAAAAGACACCCATGTGCAAAGTATTTTCAAGAGTTTTGTTGGCTTTTTTTTAACTGGTAAGGATGCACATAGCAAAAAAAAGACTTCTCTAAATCTCAGGTCCTTTTCTAATTTCCTTCAGAACAATAGCACATTTTCAATGCCAAAACTTCAGATGCCAAAACTGAATTCTCATAATGGATCCTGCAACTAGTACTACCCAGAAGATGGAGATGATAGTCTCTGGAGTTGGCCAGAACACATGAGAAGGCACAGCTAAGAAGAGTGAGTGGACGGTGAGGGCAATGAAATGAGTATCCTATGCAACGCCCGACCTTTTTACATTCAATCTATCTTTCTAAATAGGAACAGACTTCCTGCTGTACTGGGATTAATAATGCTTTATCCCACCCTCCTCACTTGATTCTAAATATGTAAACTAGAGCACTTATTTACATTTAAAAACAAAGCCTCCGAAAAGGGTAAAGTTTATTAACACCTTAAAAAAACGGACCAGCAAAGAGCTACTGAATATGGGATAGTTACTTATTCACAAGTTTTACTGCAGGAGGTACATTTTAATCACTATTTCAAATCAAAGGAGTACAGTTTTCTTCTAGAAACAGCAGTATTTCACTCTTCAGGTAGATTATTGAAAACATTAAGTGACTGCCCCAATTAGAAACAGATAAATGAATACCTTAAAAATACATATAAAAGGGTAACTGCTACTTAAACATGAATTGAATTTTCACAAAATTATTCTTGTTCCTAATTCAGACAATTGCTTAGAAAAGGTAGCCTTAAAAAAAAAAAAAAAAAAGCAATACATGAATATGTCTTCACTTAGGTACATGCTCTCAAGCAAGTTTTAAAAGAAAAGTGGAAATTAGGGTTTCCAGAGCTTTAGGAGTCCATCCTCGCTGTAGGTAGCAATCAGGTTCTGATGAGGGTGATGTGCGATACCAATCACATCCTTCTCGTGAACCTGGGAAAAGTAAAGTACTGGGTTAGAGGATATAGGTCTATAAAAATCACCCCAAAGAGGCTTCCAGAGCTGAGTGGGAGGGAGAAGGAGTGAAGCTTCTACTTCTCACCAAAGAAATCGATCCTAAGGCAGCCTTGAAGAGGGCTAAACAAACAAAACAAAAACAAATGAGGCTATCACTCTGCTAGTTCACATTTTTTGTACTGTTTTTCATAATGTGTGAATAATGCTTTGTCCCAAATCACTTTTGCATTACAGTTGATCCTACTCACCATCACTATTTTGTAAATTCTAGGCCAAGACAATGGCTAAGACCAAATGATTCCATCAATTCAGTGAACTTGTATTTTCCAGACCCCTCAGCTAGGCACCCCTGAGATCTGTATGGAGGCCTGACAGGGCAGGTGCATCAAAAGCTCACTCAAGAATCATGTGAGGCCAAGAGATGATTTTCTAACATGGGTATGTATATAATTTTTTATATGTTCATACCACTTCTCCTTCTGGACCACAGAAAACTACATTTTCCCTGTCCCCCTGGCATTTAGTCAGCCATGTGACTGAATTCTAACCAAAAAAGAATGAGGAACAAAGTAACATAAGCCACTTCCAGATGTGAGTCTCAAAAACATGCAGTGTAGCCCTCAGCTAGTTTTTCTCCTCCTGAGATCTTGGAGGCCACATATTCCAAATGACACAACTAAAAGATGGAGAAAGACGATCTAACTCCTATCACACTGTGGCATAACAAGAAATAAGATGTATCTGTCACTCTCTGATCCCAGCAGGGAGGATATGGCTAAATCTAGCTAGCTAGACAGGCACGTTCCCTTTCTTATTCTCTGCTTTATGTCCACCCATTCTATTCACTTGAAGCTGAGGGTTCACTGAAGGATGACCTTTCCTCAGAGAGGAGGTAATTCCATACCATTACTTACGGGCCCTATATTTTATTTAGTGATGCAATTTTTACACTTTTTAGATACGAAGCTTCACACAGCAGTCTGGAAAAGGTTTACTTCAGAGTTCAGAAAGACATAAGTATTAAATTTCTTGAGATGGCCTCAAGTCAGTAATACTCACTGTCAAAGTTCTCTCCAGTTTGCCAGTGACTGTGCTAAAACAGTAGAGCACGAAGTCCTCCCCAACACAGTAGATCCACTCACCGCGGGGAGACAGGGCGCAGCAAACAAAATCACCACCTTCCCTCTTACCAGAGCTGAAGCTCCTGACAATCTAAATCATACCATAACCCAAGGCAAAAACAAAACATCTGCATTAGCAGCAGTTTTAACTAACATCTTTACATTGTTAATTCCGCATTTTGGTTTCCTGACATTTATAATTAGATCACCAATTACACTCATCGTGTGCTAAATCCTCTTGCCTGGGAAATATTCCACGGATAAGCTATCTAAACTTAATCATACATCCCAAGTTACCAACCCTGCTCTTTAGTCTGTCATTTTCCCCTGAAGCAAATTCATTACCACCCAAACAATTTCTAAATCAATATACTACCAGTTCTCAATGCTCTGTGGACTTATACTCCACGGTTTCCTCTAACAGAATGGGATGCTTTCCTCATGCAAGATGGAACTCTGTCTCCAAGACCTTGCTTGCTCTACTTTATACACCACATCATCATAAATCAAGCTGAGTGAAAGCAATCTCAAGAGGTTAAAAGGTTACATACCATATGATTGCATTTTTACAACATTCTCAAAATGACAATAATGGAAAGCAGATCAGTGGTCGTTAGGGGCTAGGGATGGGTGGGGGTAAAGTTTGACTATAAAGGTTGTAGCATGAGCAAGTTCCTCTGGGGATAATGAAAACAGTTCTGTATCCTGATTGTGGTGGTAGTTACAAAAATCTATACATCTGATAAAATTTCATGGAACTTGTCGCCTCAAAATGAACGCATGTAAAGACTAGTGAAACCCAAATAAGGTTTGTATTTGAATTAATAGTATTGTATCAATGTCATTTACTGGTTTTTGATAATTGTACTATGGTTACATATGATGTACCAGCAGAAAATTAGGAAGTGGGCAACTACAGCTGGTTATGCAGGGAGCCAGGAAATAGTGCAGACCAGCCATCTCAACCATGTGCTCTTTTTTTGTAAGTTAGTTTAGTTAGTTAGTTCAGTCAGTCTGTCTGTGTCTCTATTTAATCTCTATACCCAACCTGGAGCTTGAACTCACAGCCCCAAGATCAAGAGCTGCAAGCTCTTCCAGCTGAGCCAGCCAGATGGCCCTCAACCATGGGTTCTAAACTAAAATTTATCAGTGATAAGAGCTAATGGGATGGAGAGACGGTTCCAGACACCACCCCTGGCTCTTCTCCATGCTCAGCAGAATCCCCAAGGGCCCAAGCCAACATGTCAGTAGCACCGCAACAAGTTCCCAGGGCTTGAGACCTTAATCTTGACACTCCTAATGTCCCTGGTGCTACAAAAGTGCCGATTACAAATACATATCATGAAGACACTGTTGCCCTTTTCCTATGACTCGAGTGCTACCTTAGATCGTGTGGTAACTAGGAGACGTACTGAGTTAGTAATCCACATACTGTAGCTCCCTTACTCAGACAGGGACTGTTATCAACAACACAGGTTTGAACTGCCCATGTCCACTTATATACAGATTTTTTTAATTTAATGTTTTTTTTTTTTTAGTAATCTCTACACCCAGTGTGGGGCTCAAACTCACAACCCTGAAATCAAGAGTCGCATGCTCTTCTAACTGATCCAGCACTCCATGGATTTTTAAAAAAATAAATACAGTATGGTACTGTAAATGTATTTTCTCTTCCGTATGATTTTCTTAACATCTTTTCTCTAAGCTTACTTTATGGTAAGAATACAGTATACAGGGGTGCCTGGGTGGCTCAGCCGTTAAACATCTGCCTTTGGCTCAGGTCATGATCCCAGGGTCCTGGGATCGAGCCCCGCATCGGGCTCTCTGCTCCGCAGGAAGCCTGCTTCTCCTTCTCCCACTCCCCCTGCTTGTGTTCCCTCTCTCACTGTGTCTGTCTCTGTCAAATAAATAAATAAGATCTTTAAAAAAAAAAAAAAAATACAGTATACACAATACATACAATATACAAAATACGTGTTAATTGTTTGTTATCGGTAAGGCTTCCAGTCAACAGTAGGCTATTAGTAGTTAAGTTTTGGGGGGAGTCAAAAGTAATATGCAGATTACTGTCCAGGAGGTTGGTGCCCCTAGCCCCTGTATTGTTTTGGGGTCAATTATATATGGTTTTTGGAGTGATGAACCCGTATTTGGTTACTGGAAGGCCAGAACCAAGGCATGATTTAGGAATGGCCCACAGGATCCGTACAAAGGCACTTTCTGAGCACTCACCTGCCCCTGCATGTTCATGATGACCACTGTATTTGATCTGTTACACACCACAAAGTGCTCTGGATTTTTAGGAAGCAGGATCACACTGTTGACAGTGATATCTGTCCCCGCAGTGCTGCCCAGGGATTTAAAGGTATTTGAACATTCTGTGGTCTTCATATTCCAGATCTATAACACAAAAATTTAAGGTGTTAACATTTTTGGGGTATAAGAATTTCTAAAGTTTGGGGATTAAAAAAATGAACATTTGGTAACTAAAAACGAATAAAACTGACTCAGAAAAAAAAGCTGCTTGATTTTTAGTCCTATCAAATACCTAGCTTTGCCATATACATAGTAAGCACTTATCATGTTTGCTGATTAACTGGTATCAACAAAAGTCACAAGGCTATGATCTTTTCTTACAAAATTTTCCTAATGAGCTATGTATCTTTAAAATTTGCCACGCATCAACACTGCTACTGTCAACCAGAAGCTATCCTTATCTGCTTATCAAAATAAAACACGGGCTTTTTAGAACTGTATGCTCAGGACTCTATCCTGAGATTCTGATTTGATAGCTCTGGGGTGGGGCATAGACATGTCCATTTTTCAAAAAGCTCCACAAATGATTCCAGTACAGCTTGAACCACTGAAGAGAAGCCAGTGTTGGACACACACATGAGGATCCATGAAGTAGAAGTCACTCTTGGACACGTGTATTACCTCTCCCAGCCCAACATCTCTTCTGGTAATAGTCCCCATCCTAATGCTTTTCACCTTGCCCTTCTGGGCTGTTATGAACTGCTGGGGTTAAATCAGACATCACAGTTATTGACATCTGAGATGTGCTGAGAGAAAAATGGACCAAATCTTGAATGGCATTGTCTGGACCCCATTCACTTAACGAGGTACACAGACACAAAAGCCTCAAAGGCACGGACTGCGTTGGTTGCTCTGTGCTTTCAACAGAGCTTAGCATAAAACAGACGTTGAATACCTATAAACAGGAGGAAAGAACTGCCCCACTAATTCTCCAGTGTTCATTTTCCTAATTTATACTGTTATCATCTGCCCCAATCTGTTCTCTAAAGCCCAATTGCCTTCAGGAGAGAAATGAACTTTTAAGTAAAGAGTTCTAAGGCTCCCAGTGTTTTCTGTCCAAAAAGTCAGTGAGATGCTTTACCTGACTCTCTGAAGAACTAAAGGAAAAGACCACAAAACAAAGAGGGATAGACAGGCAACCTCCCACTGGCATTGTACAAGTTGTAAGGCCCATATACAAAGCACAAAGAGGGCAAATCCCATGACTAAAATACTAAGAGCTCTGTGTATCTCCCCAACCATCCTGAGGAAGACTTTCCTACCCTCAGGTTCCTGGTTCAATTCCCAAGCCAGAACAAGCAATTTCAGAGGGTGGTCTTTTAGGCGTTTGTGTTAAAATGCTTAGGTCTTCTGCCACAAACTACACACATACATAAGGCAATTTAAAAGCAGGTCCAGGGCACCTGGGTGGCTCAGTCGGCTAGGTAGCTGCTTTCGGCTCCACTCGTGATCCCGGGGTCCTGGGATCAAGTCCTACATCGGGCTTCCTGCTCTGTGGGGAGCCAGCTTCTCCCTCT